CCCCAAAACCCCAAAACCCCAGAAGACCATGACATTTTAGATAAAGAAATCATATTTTTACATATGAAATTTGGAAAATTGTAAAAAGTATTTTATATATTCGTACGTTATTAATTAAATTAAGAGATTGATAATAGAACGACAATAAACATGGAAATGAATAAAATACTTGATAAATAGTAACTCAATATCCATGCAAGTACCACTCTTGTTGAAAGTAAACCTCCAAATAATGACATTTCGAGTATTATTAAAGGTGAAGGAGATAAAAGCAAGCGAATTGGAGAAAAAGCAAATCATAGAAAACTTATTTACTCAAAAACGGGAAATCAAAGCTTTGATCAGGATAAATTTAATTAGATTATTATGGGGACTTTAAATGATGGAAATAAACAAAGTTTTAATAAAGGAATACAAGGTATTAATGATACTATCAATAATGTTTCCATAAACTCAACTAATGAATACTTGAGAGCAACTCCTAACATTAAGCAAAGTTCTTTTAAGCAAAAACAAGGTAGCATTAAAAAGAAGGCTCTTTAGAAATCAGCATCAAGAGCTTCTCAGATCTCTCTTAAAACTATAAACCCCAGATTTTCCAGACCTCAGAAAACTTATCAATAATTAAGCAGCAACCAACTCAGAAATTAATCAAATGATAATATTGGCATTTCAAACTCATAATCTAAAAATATCTCACTCTAGCATGAAAATCCCTTGCAATTATTTAGTGATTGGGGTATTATGAAGTTTGGAGAAGGATAAAAGGGTTGGGAATTAATAGGGTCCATAGTAAGAGCAAGCAAAAAGGGAAACAGAGTTTGGGAATTAGTTGATAAAATAAATCAAGTTAAGGATCAGTACTAGTGTATAATAGAATAAGCAAATAGAGTTAACGAAAAAATGTAGAAAAAGCATAAAAAGTTCAATGATCAAAATTCAATGAATATGACTACGTTAAATGTCATTCCTTAAACTTATAGCAGCCTCTATAGGAAATAAATTAGATTTGATGATTAGAATTTGGCTGACGGGAGATAGAGAAACATGAATTAAATAAGAAAAAAGGATAACTTAGTCCCAAAAGCAGTCAGAAAATTAAACAAGCTTAAGCAAGAAATGAACGAGTTTAATGATGAATATTCTAAACTCTTGGGAACAACAAAAAGACTAATGAATATGTGCAAAAGTTAAGGAGGTAAAAGAAGATAAAAAATTACTGATACTTCTTAAAACACTAATTCGAACCCTTAAACCACCTCAAGAGAAGTTAATATTGACCCATTCAAAGCTGAAACTCTTAATATAAACTCAATGGAAACTTCATTTTTTAAATAGAACCATACGGCTCATGGTTACAGAAACAGTGGTTTATATTAGAACGGGGACTATCACAATAATAATTACAGCGCTTTGATGCAAAATAATAACACTTAGTTATTGAAATCCTATATGGGTTTTAACAGTTCTATCTTCAAAGAAAGATAAGACGAGATAAAAACACTGATTTCTTTGGAATTAGAGCAATTCAAAAATATTAATTTAGACTTAAAGAAAAAGAACTCCTATTAGCCGCCTAATGCTGATGAACTCCTCGATCACATCAAAGAAAAAATTTAGGTGGTCAAGGGAAGTTAAGAGAACCTTCAATCTGATCCTAAGAAAATCCAGTAGCATAAACTTCAAGTGATGCATCATGACTTTGATATTAAAATAGATAGATTTACTGAGATATTAAAAATGAGAGCAAAGTAAAGTTTAGAATAATCATTGCAAAATAACAGCTTGACTACTTAATAGCAATTAATACTTAGCTAAATGACTCAAAAATCTTAAATAGAGCAAATTCTAGATACTCATTCAACTTAGAGACTAGAAGAACTAAAAATGCAAAGAAATAACAAAAGTTCTGAATCAATGAGGGTAGCCACATTCGATAGGAGAAGTTCTCACCAATAAAGTATAAAAATCTCTAAAAATATGATATCTGAAGAAAATTCCGATATCGATAATAATCTAGAAAAAAGTATGGAGGAAATGAGGAAAAATTTTGAGAAAAAGAAGTCAATTTCATCTCACAATAGAAAAAATACAGCAAGTCCTCAACTGAAGGTAAAGCAGCTATATTTAGATAAAATCATTTCGGATATTGAAGCTTAGCAATAATCTCCTCGGAAAAAAGAATTCAAAGTAGCTGCTATTTCAAAAAATTACCAACTAGATAATCCAGAGACTTTGATCCTTCCCACTCCAAGGCAGAAACAGTTGTCGAATAGAGCATAATTTTTGCTACGTATGAGAAAATAGTTTGAAAAAACATCCCATAGGCTAAGTGAAAATCCAATGAATCCAGTTAAAACTGCGATTGATACTAAATAAATCTTTAAGATTTGCAAAAGAAATAGTGGATCTTAAAATGAGATAGAGACAAATAATAGTTCAGATCAGCCTTTAAGTAAAAGAATCAATTAAAATAAGGAAGAAATTAAATAACCATCTTTAAAAATAAGTCATTATAAGAAATTTGTAACAAATAATAACGATTATATGAATAAATTACTAAGTCAGAGAGCTCTAAGTAGTAGCAATGAAAAAAGAAGCATCAATGAAAATCATAATGTGATCCAGTCATAACCTCATTCTCCTTAGCAATCTATGATGTTTTCATTTTCACCTATTAGCAAAATATCAGGAGGTCATATAGGGATGGGCTATTTAGGAAGCGCTTAAGATTAGTCCAGAATTTAGTCTAAATCAAACTCTAAGGGAAGAGAATTTTTATTCAATAATGAAAATATCAACAGCGTGAGCTAAAGATATTCTCGAGAACTTGAAAAATATAGATGGCAAAGATAAGTATATTAAAATAATAGATTGAGTCTATGAAAAAAATAATTATAATTCATTTCATAAGTAGATCTTTATCAATTAAAGTCCTGACATATGGGGTTTTGGGGTTTTGGGGTTTTGGGG